TTTCTATTTTTCATCTTACTCTTCTTGTTTCCCTTTCCGCTACTCTTCCTCTTCTCATTTCTCTTCATGTTCCTCTCCTCTACCCCATCGTGTTCCTCTCCTCGTTCCCTTCCCTTTCTTCTTCCTTTTCTTGTCCCTGTTGCCACTTTCTCTTCCCAATATTCTTCTTTTCCTTCCTTTTCTTTTTCACATTTCCCTTCACATTCTTGTTCAAAATGTCCTTCTCCTCCGGATCTTCTCTTTCTTCTCCCCATTCTTAATCCTCCGGCCCTTCTCCTTCCGCTTCTCATTTCTATTCTCATTCCTCTTCCTCGTCTTGTTTATATTCATCTTCTCATTCCTCTTTTCATTCCCGGTGTGTTCCTTTCTCTGTATGGTTATCTTCCTCTTCTCATACTTCTCCTCCGTCTCGTTCCTCTTCATCTTCTGGTCATTACTCCGCTTCTCCTTCCTCTTCTTCTTTCTCTTGATGTTCTTCTTCTTCTTCTAGTTCCTTCTCTCTGTTCTTCTCTTCCTCATGTTCCTGTTGTTTTTTCCTGGTCCTCATCTCAGTCCTCTTGGATGTTCCTCAGAGAGTCTCCCAGGTCCCCCCAGTGAGGGCGGCCATGCCTTGTCCAGTATGGTGATGGAGATCTCTCGGGGAGATTTATGGATAATGGAACCGATGTTTAGCTCGAAAAACATCCAAGAAAATTCCTTCATTAAATTTCACCGATTGGCCGAATCTGATTGGTTGCTGTGAAGAACATTTGCGCTTTTGTATCCATTGTAATTTGTGTTCTCTCTTATGTTGTGTGACGGTTTACAAACACCAATTTGAGTGATGATGGGAGTAGTAGTACTACTGGAAGGAGACATTCTGTTTTGTAATTCTGCCTTTCTCTCCAATATTCAGTGAGCGGGGACTGGACGCCTTGGTCTCCGTGGTCCGAATGCCCGGCCACGTGTGGTGCTGCTGTCCAAATCCGCAGTCGTGCCTGTATCAACCCCCCTCCACGTAAAGGGTGGGGGACAGTGGAGTGAATCCCATAGACTGGGTGCAGAGATATAAGCTGCTTCCCCAACCTCTCTTCTGACTTCCCTATGTGTCTCCCTCCAGTATCTGCACCCCAGAGGGCAACTACTGCCAGGACATTGAATGTAGAGGTAAGTGTGCGCATGGACTCCACCGTCACTGTGTTACGGACATAATATCTGGTGATATCTCCTTCCCGCCGCCATGTTTGTCCTCTTTAGTCTTGCCATGGTGGGAAAGCGTGTTCCTCTCCTCGTTCCCTTCCCTTTCTTCTTCCTTTTCTTGTCCCTGTTGCCACTTTCTCTTCCCAATATTCTTCTTTTCCTTCCTTTTCTTTTTCACATTTCCCTTCACATTCTTGTTCAAAATGTCCTTCTCCTCCGGATCTTCTCTTTCTTCTCCCCATTCTTAATCCTCCGGCCCCATTCCTCTTCTCTGTCCTCTTCCCATTCCTCTTCTCTGTCCTCTTCCCATTCCTCTTCTCTGTCCTCTTCCCATTCCTCTTCTCTGTCCTCTTCTCTGTCCTCTTCCCATTCCTCTTCTCTGTCCTCTTCCCATTCCTCTTCTCTGTCCTCTTCTCTGTCCTCTTCTCTGTCCTCTTCCTTTTTCCACTTTCTATTTTTCATCTTACTCTTCTTGTTTCCCTTTCCGCTACTCTTCCTCTTCTCATTTCTCTTCATGTTCCTCTCCTCTACCCCATCGTGTTCCTCTCCTCGTTCCCTTCCCTTTCTTCTTCCTTTTCTTGTCCCTGTTGCCACTTTCTCTTCCCAATATTCTTCTTTTCCTTCCTTTTCTTTTTCACATTTCCCTTCACATTCTTGTTCAAAATGTCCTTCTCCTCCGGATCTTCTCTTTCTTCTCCCCATTCTTAATCCTCCGGCCCTTCTCCTTCCGCTTCTCATTTCTATTCTCATTCCTCTTCCTCGTCTTGTTTATATTCATCTTCTCATTCCTCTTTTCATTCCCGGTGTGTTCCTTTCTCTGTATGGTTATCTTCCTCTTCTCATACTTCTCCTCCGTCTCGTTCCTCTTCATCTTCTGGTCATTACTCCGCTTCTCCTTCCTCTTCTTCTTTCTCTTGATGTTCTTCTTCTTCTTCTAGTTCCTTCTCTCTGTTCTTCTCTTCCTCATGTTCCTGTTGTTTTTTCCTGGTCCTCATCTCAGTCCTCTTGGATGTTCCTCAGAGAGTCTCCCAGGTCCCCCCAGTGAGGGCGGCCATGCCTTGTCCAGTATGGTGATGGAGATCTCTCGGGGAGATTTATGGATAATGGAACCGATGTTTAGCTCGAAAAACATCCAAGAAAATTCCTTCATTAAATTTCACCGATTGGCCGAATCTGATTGGTTGCTGTGAAGAACATTTGCGCTTTTGTATCCATTGTAATTTGTGTTCTCTCTTATGTTGTGTGACGGTTTACAAACACCAATTTGAGTGATGATGGGAGTAGTAGTACTACTGGAAGGAGACATTCTGTTTTGTAATTCTGCCTTTCTCTCCAATATTCAGTGAGCGGGGACTGGACGCCTTGGTCTCCGTGGTCCGAATGCCCGGCCACGTGTGGTGCTGCTGTCCAAATCCGCAGTCGTGCCTGTATCAACCCCCCTCCACGTAACAACGGTTCGGACTGTGAGGGTCCGGACACCGAGAGGCGAGGATGTACCAGCCGGCACTGTGAGGGTGAGCTGTCCGCCATGTTACTCTCTGGTCCGCGTGGGGCACGAAGGGCCCAATGTACGGAAGTGTCGGTCATGTTCAGGAGCATTTCTCCTTCATGTGATTGGCTGCATTGCTGGGGCCGGCGGGCTCCTTCATGTGATTGGCTGCATTGCTGGGGCCGGCGGGCTCCTTCATGTGATTGGCTGCATTGCTGGAGCCGGCGGGCTCCTTCATGTGATTGGCTGCATTGCTGGGGCCGGCGGGCTGTATGGAGCCACCATCGTTCATCGTCCACCATTACTGTCCACGCTTTCTATGGGAGGGTTTTATCCGCATGTGTCTCTTCCAGGCGGCAGTCCTTGTGGTTGGTCGGAATGGACTCCGTGTTCACAAAGCTGCGGCACCGGGATTAGCAGCCGGACGTGGCGGTGCGACTGTCACGGCGCCGAATCCCTGGATCCGGAATGTAGCGGCCAGGAGCGCGTGGAGACCGCGGCGTGTTACCTTCAGCCGTGTGAGGGTGAGTGCGGGTATCGAACACATGGAATCATTTACATGTATGATTTCTGTTTCTCCGGTCATACGTGTTCCGTGAGCTCACAGGCCTATTCCATCTTCCGTGTGGCCCCTTGCAGGAAGCTGCTTCTGGGGACAATGGGGTCATTGGTCGGAGTGCTCGTGTCACTCCACCTTCCAGCACCGCTACAGGGAACCTCAGGGGCCAAACCTCGGCGGCGACGCGTGTGACAAGCTGGGGAGTGAAGTTCGGACATGTGACCTGTCACAGTGCTCAGGTGAGAATCCTTCATCGACACGCATGACGTCCTCGGCACGCTCAATGAATCCATTTCTATCCTCCGCTGAACCGCATGTGACCACGCGAGGATGAGAATGACTCCTCCTGTGTACAATATTTCCTCCAAGAAGGCGGAGACTGAACAGGATGTGATCCGTGTCACACGCATATGATTCCCCTGCCCAGTCGTCTTCCTCTCTCTTGTTTCAGAGTCCAGCTGTTGGCCCCCATTTGTGTTCAGCCCGTGTGGCTCTCCATGCGACGGCGCCTGTCCCTCCCGATTACCGGCGGAGATTTGCCGCAACGTGTCCACCTGTCAGCCCGGCTGTTACTGCCCTCCGGTGAGTGCCGGGTCTGTGTTCAGTGCCAGAGAGGTGGGCCCAGGTGAAGGTTGGGCCCTTCAATTGTCTGACTAGGGGGGGGAGGGGCCTATAAGGGTCCCTCGGAGCAGGCAATCAGTGTCTAGGGGCTCAGGGAATTGCTCCGCCTCCTTCATCTGGTGTCTATGGGGTCGGTGACCATACAGAAGGTTCCTGTAAGTCTTTGTAGAGCGCGGTCCTCGTTAATCATGTGATCTCTTCTACGTCCTCTCAGGGGCTCCGGGAGCAGAGCGGTGAATGTGTCCGTCCCTCCGAGTGTGCTTGTCCGTACATGACTCCTGCTGGGACGGCCTATCTGGCCCCGGGCGGCACCGTACATCTGGGCTGTAGAGAGTGGTGAGTCTGGTCCCTGCGCTCCTCAGCCAGTGGTTAGGTGAAGGACCCGCCAGGAACACGACTGATAATAATAAATATCCGCATGAGTCACTGTCCATACACTCTCCTGTGAGACTGTCCTATAAAGGGGAGGGGCCTACCACATAAAGGGAGGAGCCACTTTTATGTATGGCAGACTGTGAGGCTACCATATCTGTCTCTCGTGTGTTACATTGAACGGTCAGATCCCGAGTGAAGAACTTCATTACATCTCAATGTGATTAGTAGAATTCGACTTTCGGTTGCATCGTACTTTACAGAGGTCACATGACTCTGGAGGTCACATGACTCTGGAGGTCACGTTCTTCATTATGTCTTTGCAGTGTCTGTCACCGGGGAGAGCTGCGGTGCGCCAGAAATCACTGTGAAGGTAAGTGGCCACCCTCCAAATCCTGAGCGGACTATAGAACTCAGGGGCTCCTGTTGTGGCCCTAAACCCAACCCTACACTCCCCTGCCATTGCTGGGGGGC